AAAAAAGAAGAAGATAAAATCTGAATTTTTATTTGATTTTAACTGATTTGAGTGAATTAAGGATACTAAATAATCTTAATTAGTTTAAATCCCTTAATTCGTGCTATTTATTAATTATCTACAAAAGAATGATATGATCTGATTCTTTAATTTATCTTAACTGATTTTGAGTGAATTAAGGATAAAAAATATTGTTAATTTGTTTGAATCTTTATTTCATGCTAATCATTAATTATCTACAATAAATTCAAATTAAATTACAGGCCACACTTTCAGTTTTTTACTTTATTATCTATAATTCCATTTTTTTTTGTAAATTTTCGTTTTTATTTTTTAAAAAACTTTTTTAGAATTAATAAAAACATTTCTTTTATTTGTGAATTTGTTATAACCTGAAATTTTTAATGCTATAGCTTGAAAGTCTATATCTACTGCTATAGCCTGAAAATAGTACTATAATATATGTCATATATGAAATTTACACTTCTAGATTTGGCAGTCTTAGTTGAAATGATTTTGCACTTTTGGGCTCAATGCTTCCACTAATAGGGCCATAATCTTCTAAAGCCCAAGTCTACCAGTCAAAACGAGAACAATGTATCTGTCCATATTACTGATGTTTCATGTAATTAATCCTTAATATGTATTTGTTCATATCAACATATATCTTATAATTGTATTAAGATACAGGTCTAATAATTGTATCAGTAAGTATCTAATAATTCTAAAAAAAACTACACCAAAAATGATCTTTTATGGTAATTAATTAATAGTTTAATTGCATCTACATACATTTTGTTTAGTAACAATTAGCACTCTTTGTAAATGTTCCTAAAGCCTATAATGATATTGGATCCAATGTCAATTAACTAATGTCAGTTAAGACTTTAACACCCTTTTTTAATGTGCATATTTATTAACGCTAAAAATTGTCTTTTAAGTGAAAGATAGATTTAGGTGGTTTGAACACTTTAGACTTTTGTTTGCTGAAATAGATGACTAAAGTGTCACTATATTTTGTTTGTTTTAGATTTTGAGCATTTTGAGACATTGAGAAAAGAGAATGGTTTGACAATTTAGCTTGTTCACTTCTAGTTCTTCAATTGAGGTATGTTACATTTTACTTGGAGTTAGATTTTTCTCAGTTGCTGATATGTAATATAAGCTGTATTGCATGTTGATTGGTCTTCAGACATGATTGAGGTGTGTTTATAGCTGAATTAAGTGTTGCATATATGAATAACCATTTAAACTGTTGAAGTGTCTAATTCACTATTGTTATGAAATATGAAGTTGTGATTACTCAATAATTATTATGTTAGCTTGAGGGGTAATTAGAGAGGTTAACATATTGAAATATGTGGTTAATTATAGTAAGAATACATTTATTAGTTAGATGATGAATAACTCCAGTCCAATATGAGCAGTTATGTGTACGTATGGTCGGATCAAATACTATGCTAGTACGGTACACCAGCCTACAGGTCTTGACTAGATAGAAAAAATTAAGACCATTTAGCATGAGTGATGAGAGTAAGACTTATGATTTCAGAGAGAGTGATGAAGATTCTGTCAAGATGCAAGGATTATACAGCTGCAAGGCTAGAATGAGTATGATTTTATTGACTTATTCGTATTTTGACAAGTGTGTTGTTGAATTTATAATAATAATATTAATATTCTAAAAATGGAGAACTCACAATCTATGACATTAATTAATATAGATACAGTGAATATTTGTACAATTGGATGATATCCTATTAAATGACAAAAGGAAATCAAAAGTTTTGCAACAGTTAAAATGACCCTTAAGTGTACCTCAGTTACTCCTACCGTGCAAAGGTATAAAAATTTTTAGATGAATTATATTCATAACATTATATTAAACGCTAAGTAATTGCTTCAATAAATACTTACTATGGAAGCTTGCAATCGTTGAACTTTTGATTTTCTTCTGTTATAATTAGCACAAACTAATGATGAATTATATA